CTAATTATAAGATGTGGCCATTAGATCGATACTGAGTATTAAAAAAAAATACCTGCATTTGATCCTGCCAAAGATTCTAAGGCTGATGCCTTGTACCCTTAGCTGATATCATTCTTACCTCAAAATAGTCTAGGTAAATTAAATACTACTCTGAAAACCTAAATGTTATTATACATTTAACTTATATTGAAACTTTTAGAAATACTACAATCTTTGTAAGGATACAAAGCTTTTTCTTTCTTCTGCCTAAAAGCAATATTTGACTGTGCAACTTTCCCAAGAAGTACAACAACAGGCAAAGATTGAAAAACAGAGTCAGAAGTGGAAGAGAAAGGTTAATACTAGTTGTACTATTCCAATAGGTAGAAGAGCTTTTCTAGATGGTGGAGAAATCATGTGCATTCTATATGAGAGTAACTAATGGACAGAAATCCAAAATCATTTCTGAAGGCCACAGGCCTAAAGTCTTCAAGCTCACAACTCAGCTGACTGATGAGCATACCTATGAACTGCTAAGCTTCCAGAAATGATTAGTAAAATAGAGCACAAGAAGACCAAGCTTGAAAACTTTCTCTCCTCTCAAAACCCAGAAACAGAGCAGACTGGTGGCTCTATTTTTTTCGGAATCGAAAAGTGGTCCTACCGCAGATGACCCAGCTATTAGTGACAACTGTGGAGATACTGAGTAAGTCCACCCTTCAATTACTCAAAAAGGTTTATTCTAATTCAAAGAATTCTGGTAAATTCAGGTAGCTACCTCTACGATTACAGTTTAATGCTTTTTATTCTTTTTGTTTTTCTTTATTGTCTGGTATGGTTGCTGGAACGGTCTGTAGCCTAGTATGACTTGTTAAACCCAAGAGGGTTAAGAGCTACCCTCCTGCTCGCTTCGCGGGGTGCTCGCAATGTAGGGAAAGATTGTAGTCTAATTTTGTCCATCGACAAGAAGACAAAGATGAACCCGGTGTGATTAATCGGGCTTGGGTAACCATCGAGACGGAGAATAGTCGTGCGTTTGTAACGGCCGGAGAAGGGTGATAATGCAAAGAGGTTAACCGAGGTGCAGAGCCCGGGGGGAATCTCCTAGCGGGCAAGGGGAGGACGCTGAAAAGCTGGGTGCTCAGGGAGAAAGGAGTGGGAATTCTCCACACTCGGGCACTTCGGCCGCTGAAGAAGCTGTATCCCCGGCATCGGCCTCCCGGGAATCGCAAGAAGGGGTGAACCAAGAGACTAAATTAAGAACTACTCGCGAAAACGTGGAGGGAGTTTCTATGGAATGATTAGATCACGCTAATGATGTATCCTATTTTCCTCATCTCTTTTGTCGTCATTCAGTGGCTTCGGGGTAAAATCTACCAACGCTATTCTAGGCGACATATCAATTGACCAGCCTTAGAACCAAAATCAGGACGCTGTACAGTACAGGTCCCATGTCAAAAGCCCGTATCAAGACTTCTCTTCTAATTATGCACCGTAAACTTGTCAAAAGTGTGGTCTGGACGTCTAGCAGGCGATCTAATCAAATCTCCACACTGCCAGTATTTGATTGTTGGGCCAGCGACACTACCAACTCACTCGGGATCTCGAAGAACCGACAGTGGTCTCCCAGCGCCCGCTGCCCCCTACAACCAGGTCCAACCTCCGAGCAACTGTTCTTACAGACTGCACTTGGGTGTTAGTACTAGTACACTTGAGTTCTCAAGCCTGCCGCAAGGCACAGCCAACATAGTAACACAAACCGCATCGTCCCCATTCGCAGTATCATGTCTGTACGGGTAACGTGTCGAGGGGCTTTCCTCAGAGACCCACGCGCACACGCCAAAACAACCTCAATCAACCAATCAACCAACCCCGATACCAGTACTACTGCGCCAGGCCAGCATCGGTTACCCCCCACAGGCAAGCAATTTTTTGGGTCTCCCGCTCTTGATCCAAAAAAAGAATCTCCTAAGATAAAAAAGATCCTTGCCAAAAAATACTTTAAGGCCTCCCCATCAACACCGTTAACAAAGGGTGGTCCGGTGATAAAATACGGTACTCTCATGCGGTTAACAAGCAAGGATAGCGTAATAGACATCCTGTAGGGTGACTGCAACTCGGTATTACCTTCTCCCCCATTTGGTTCTGAGCGTGACGAGTGAGAAGGGGTGATTGGATGCATTGTGGCTGTTGACCATGTCGGTGAGGAGGTTCCCGAGGTGGATATGTGGGTGAGGTTGTCGGAGAGGGGGGGTGATGGTTGCGCAGTGATTGGAGATGCGCAGAGCGATATACATTATAACTTGGGAAGTGCAACCTGAGTAATCATGGTATAGCACTCGGGATCATGATGTTATAATTTCTGAGAATGCACATTAGGTTCGAAAGGCCTCCAAGGACGGGAAGCTGGAGTCAACTATGTGGTGGTAAAGATGCCGTTAGCGATTGTTCACAACTTCTAGATTTTTTCCTTCGTCAATGGGGGTCAGTTATATAGATGGATAGATAAAATATTGTTTTGTGGTATCATGGATCCAGCCAACAGTAGGTCAACGATACTCTACTCCACGCGCAATCGGGGATCATGTGAGACACGCCGTGATACCACCAAAGGGCTAAGACTGGTTCCCACCTCCCCCTCCCCCTCTCCCTGAAAAAGAGTTAGAAAAATCGTAGATATAGGGGGTGTGTCATGGCAGATTAGAAAATTGAAATCTAAAAGCCCAAGGATCAGAATTCATCCAACCATTCAAACCTGGAACGGAAAACTCCGCAAACATGATGCAACTTGAAGAACACTAGGACTCAAATACTGGCCCTTTACACAGTTATATAAGCCCTCAATGGCATGAAGCCCATTTGCCTAATGGCCACCAATGAGAGAGTTGAGAATGTCCGCTCTGCCGTAGCGGATGTGAGTTTACCGGCTATGATCAATCCCGTTCCAAGCAAGCCAGCAACCAATCGGTGATCATTGAACGGTACTCAACCGCCCTGAGGTTTTCCAAGAGTATACACTTTGCTCTCCCGCTCCCCCGGCATGAGCTATGCGGTGTGGGTAGGCACTGCAGATTTGGGGGGAAGCTCTCGGAAGCCTAGTCCATGGCCTGCGGACAGCTCGATCTCACAATTTTGCACAGCCGAGTACTGTACTCTACGTTACTGTAATTGCACGGCCGGGCAGGGCGGTCAAACCGGGGTGGCGGAAGCCCTTTCACGCCCGGTATCTTCCCAACGGCAGAGGCTTTTCCCCCGTGGAGTTTCCGATGGAGGTGGTGGACGTGCCCAGTTGGTCGATGGGATCGGAGGTGGAGAGAAGTGTGTTCTTCTCTACAAAAGATGACTGGCTATCAAATACATAGGTGGAAGACACCATATGAGGGTAAACCCCTTACACTCATCTGTGCACCCACAGCACAATATGCATGTATACCTCCACTCATACGTTTCCCGTGCATGTCTTCACCCACCTGTGTTCCTCTGCTCTGCCATGTCTGTACTCTCAACAACACAACATGCTGATACGGTGATTATAATATTACCAGCTTCCATCAAAATTGAATTCTGTGAACACACAGAACTCGTCAAGGTTTTTGATGTCTGGCTTCTGCGTCTCCGGGCGGATTACCTTCTACAGAAGGGGGAGATTACTGCCAAATCCTCAAGAGCGCACCACGGCAAAAGTAGAGGGCGGGTTGAGCCAGCCAGCCAACAATGCTCAACCTGTTGTCACTCGCCTATCGCATTCCAACACAGCCGGACTGCCAGTTTAAAAGCCCAATTCACGGTGAAGGTGTTCGTTAGAGACAGAGGGAGAGCTAGAGACCCTTGCTTGCCTGAAATGGACTGATCAATTGACCATTCCCTGAGGGTTGATACTTGAATTCGCCTCCATCCTATGTCGGGTATGTTAGAATAAGGAATCAAGTGGGCGTAGAAGCGAAAATGGGAATGAGCCCCCAGGGTTTTCCCAGGCTACAAAATCCTGATCTTGGGTTTACCTGGACTTGTTCATCCGATTATAATTACAAAAAACCCCGCCCGCGTGATCTCACTGAGATCATTGATACGGACTCTAACATGGATTCCTTAATTTCTACCAACCCTTCCACCAATTGATCACAGTTCATTGATGTACAGAAACCCATGCTGTGGTGTACGAACTCGAGGCCCGGAATCACTTCTCCATCGGAATACAGCTTTGGGGGGAAAGAAGGGGGAATCGCTGAATTCTCTTCCAACTTTGGGGCTAGATAAATTAGGTATTTTCCATCGAATGGAAAAACAACATCGAATGGAAAAACAAGAGGGGGGAGGAGAGTATGATATCTCTCTTTTGTTAATACAATTGCAGTATACCAGTATACTTCCCATGAATAGAATTTTTGATCTGGTCGAGAGACTTTTTTTATTTAGTTTTTTTTCGGTACGATACAGATTCGCACCCTGAGTGCCCCCAGTATGACATGGGTACACGGGTCGGAAAAAAAGTGATTATTATCTCCAAACCCGAACGAGCTCCCAATTGCAGCAAAAAGCCAAGCCTTAAATGCTTTTTATTAATTCTTACTGTGATATCACCTCCAATCACGGCAGAACAAGCTTTCAAGAGATTTGCAGGCCACGATTCTGTCCCTATCTGCGTCGTTTACTGGACCTTCAGTTAATAAGTAATTTAACGTTGTCGTTACACCCAAGGGTTTCCAGAGATACACGCGGCACATACCATGTGTTCTATGAAGCAGGCCGTTGTGCACTCGGTTGCTGGAGTTACTAGTGTTTTTATTTCAGCCTATTTACCGCCATACTAGTGCCGCGCATGAAGTATGAGTGGGGATTTTGTTTGACGGTAATTGATATCGCCCTAATGCAATTTCCCTGCATCCCTTTTTTTCACTCAGCGTGCTCAACCATCTGAAGATTTGAGTTACGGTTATTAGGTAGAGATAGTAGACTCTAAGCAGATGTACTTTTCCTAAGTGATCTATTGATCATGATTGAATATGTTTGAAGCTCAAAGAGTGATGAATCGTTTCATGTCATTCCAACACCTGGTACCAAAGAAAAAAAACCAACTTCTTTTGTAGATTCAGTGGGGAAGCCCTCACAATTTCGAGCCCGATAATTCCCAAAATTATCATATTTTGTACGAAAACAAAAAAAGCGGCGCATCCAACCTCCCCCCCTTCCTACAGAACATGAAAGCACGCCTTCACATCCTTATACACAGTCCCATCGATATCGAACTGGAAAAGTATAGAAGCTGATTGAATACTCATCAACAGGTCGAATATAAGCTTAAAATAGGGTTGACCATCGGTTCCGATCATCCTTTTAAACTTCTCCTTCGGGATCGCACTGGGATCCACTTCGAGGGTGCAAACAGAGTATATATCTGCAAGATGGGTCAGAATCGAAGGAGGCTCCCACGAAATATGGTCTGGATGACTTACCTGTTGATCTGCTAGTAGGGGAAGGGTTTGAGGAATCACTTGCCAAAAGTGGGACCGTGATTCTATCATCGAGCTCGTCGAGTGAACTACGACATATACAAAATGTGTGTCTAATGGGGTCACTCTCTTCGACATCCTCGCCCTAAACTCTGTTACAACACAATAACACAAAAGGTATATAGTGGCTCATGTTTTCACCTTTCGTATGTACCAGTGCATCCGCTTCATGCACATGTACTCCCCGTCGTGGGGGTCGATATAGCGGTCTCTCTTAGGATGAATCCCCTCTATGAACGGCACGCTGCACGAGTTGCCATAGTTTCTAACAACCTTCCGAACTCGAACCATATCTCCCTCGAGTCCGCGCATTACAGCACCCCGAACAACAGCGCCCCAACTGCCTTCTGTCAGCTTTTAAGGGCGTGGGGAAGGAGGTGCCTCTTTAAGTTAACTCACGCCTTAGGTGGCTGCAGAATTGATATGTTCCTGCCATCGTTTGTCCTGATTTCAGCCTGGAGCCGGCTACGCAGATATTCGGATTCGCCAAATCCCCCAACAAGAACCAAAGATTTGACTCGGCGCGTCTGGCGAGAAAAAATCATCGAGGAAAGTGCATCGGGATATAGCCCCTCATCCGGTAGCGGAGTGATTGCCTGTAAGAAGTGAATTAGCTGCAGTGGTCCACAAAAAGCTCACAGCATCATTTCCCACCATCAATTTCTCAACTTCATCAACCTGTTTCTGTACCAATTCAACGATCTCCTGCACTACTGGATCGAATATTTCCCTCATCTCCTCCCGATCTATGACAAACATCCCATCCTCTATGCCTGCTTTACTGTCATCCGCTACACCGGGTATGGGGCATGTGAAAATTTCCTCTTCATCAGAATCGGTAAAGTTCCGCTTCAAAAAACCATCGAACTCCTTCACCAAGTGAACTCTTGCTCTGTGGCTCATCTTATCGAATCTGGGAAACACTGTTACCCACATGATCCAGGAGAAGATAGTGGTACTCACCTGGCACCAATACGACGTCTAACCAATTTTTCGAAACGTTCGTTCAGGAAGGTTGATCCACACATCGCCCCCGCACCTTCAACACATTCCACCACCTCCAATTTGGGAGATTTTCTCGTGATGGTATAAGATATTACGTCCTGTATTTTGTGAGTCACCCCTATATAATAATCTCGGAGTCCTCATAGAAAAAATGTATTCTGTACTTACCACCGTCCCACCACCGCAATCCGCGACGACGAAAGTATCTCCAACCTAATAAAGTTTGTGAGTGCCCCCCCCTAGACCAAAAATAAATAAATCTGCCTTTGGGGCGTACATTGAGGTTATTAGACTGGATTTCCTTCAAGCAACAAACTGCTGCTGCCTCTGGCTCTGAAATCAAACGAATGGATTTCTTTCTGCCGAACCCCGCATTCTCGGCCGCTTGGAGGGTAAGGTTCTTTGCTGCATCGCTCCATACCTGTGGGACAAATAAGTTTGACGGGAACCGCAAGCTATTGATGACAATGGACGCGTACCGCAGGAACTGTGAGGGTAAAATCGAGGGGTGAGAATTCGACCACATCTTCTCCGAGGGCCCCCTTCAGATGTTTGATAGTGTGTTGGTGTAACTCGGACAGGTAATCAGTCACAACATCGACTAGCTTCTTCCCGGGGGGTATCAACTGCTTTGTCCTCGCTAAAGTTGAATTGGCAGAGCCGGCAAGAGAATATTTGGGGGGACCCAGGAGAAGCTTAAACCAAGCGAGCCTTGGCACTTCATCAGTAATTCCAAATCCCCATTTCACCCCTGACGGCGTGTATGCTATCTCGGTCGGCGCTTTTTCTGATGACCTGCCTCCCTATAAACACGTAAGGGCTTGGGATCCAATGGAGGATGGTGCATTCAAAATTACCTTGCCGACCCACTTATCAATGACATTGATCTCGTCCGAAGTAGTGGAGTGAGTCTATCGGATAGGTTCCAAAGATTAGAGAAGAGCACGCGCGTCAATGGAGCAGCCCAAATTACCCAAGCGACACCAGAATATGTCGTTCCAAAGTCAATCCCGATCTTAATTGGGTTTAAACTTGATAGTTGGCTCATCCTATCGTTCAGGCAGTTTCCTCCCAGCGTTAGTAAGTCCACAGAGTTAAAGTTGGCTTTGGGTCTCCCTTGTGAGGTGGTAGACGCTCGTTCGGTAGAGATGGGCGCAATAGAGGATTTTCCGTTTCCGGGTGAGAGCTTGTGGGATGTGAGAGGGTGAAACTAAAAGGTCATGATTTATAGCTTGCTCCAGACAACTGATAAGCGTCACTCCGGTGGGACAGGCTCTCGTCAGAGTTCCGTACGTATGCTGGGGTACGGATAACCGGTAGGCCAGTGAAGGAAGTTCTGGGTGTGCTCCGCAGCACCGCGGTTGTTGCCTAGAAAATCAGGCCCACAATGGTATCATAGGCCATAGGCCCCTCGATCGAATCGCATTTCCCTAATGCATACGCTATAACGCTTCACTTTACCGATAAAGCGCTATTGCTATCATTACCACCTAAAGGCCCAACCAGGGCCGCACCCGGCAACGTAGCCGCTGTTGGTATCATGCCAGTAATCCAGACACCAACCTCAGAAGTGCATTTATGGCAGCATGACTTTCCTTTCAGCACAATTCCAAATACAGTAACACACGGGGGATATATCAAATCGGGAATTCCGTCCTCTATCGGAACGCACTATAGGGAGAGCCTCTATTGGTTGCTGTGTTTGCAATACATTGTGCGCTACCACAGTTATGTGGAGGCCCTGAAAAGAGGGATCGCTCCATCTCACACCACCAAGAATACACCCCCTCACGGAGACCATACTTCTGACGTTCAAAATATGGAATACTACGAGGCTATCTCGGAAGTGGTTGGGCGCTTTATAACGGTAATATTCCCTGATCAAATGAATTACATACTCCAATTCTGACTGATATCTCAGGCTTCGGGAAGCATCATCGGGGCCCGCGGTGAAGAGACCGTGCTTGTGATCAGAGATCGTATACGGGGACGTGAGGGGGGGAAGAGGGCGGTCATTCGAGAACTTGAGCAATGCCTAAATGACTCCCGAACCGCATATTCGGATTTGGAAAGAGAGCTTCGGAACATAAAGCGTGAAAAGAAGGACCGCATTCGAGAACTCGAGCACCACCTGAATGACTCCGAGACCACAATTTCAGGTTTAGAAAAAGACCTCCAGAACGGAAAACGCGAAGCTTCCGCTCTCCAAAATAGACATCTGGAGACAGTCGGTCGGCTCAAGGAAGCCGAATCCACCGGAAAAAAACACCGCACAGACCTAAGCGACCTCTTTACACGCTATAACAAGCTCAAGGTGGAGAGCAAGGACCTTCATATGAAGTATGAGAAAACTGCTATGACGAACAGGGACCAGGAGGGAAAGATAAAAATCTTGACAAATGACAATCTCAAGATCGCCGCCGAATTGGAGACACGAGTCGCGCAACTCAATAAATTTACGGGGGATATCGCGCGCCAAAACCAGCGCGTCGGCACTTTGGCAATCCGAGACGATGAATATTTTGCGAGAGAGTTCGCAGATCTTGCAACTGATATACGCGGTTGGTCATTTGCACACTTCTTCACCCACTCCAGGACCTTTGTTCCTAAAGCAGTGGACGGATATCTCCAGGATGCCATTAGACAGATCGCAGTCGGGACCAGTCTTCCCGAAATCTTCACAAGTCGCGCAACAACCCGCCGAGTGATTGCTGGACTACTCGCTGATCAACTAAGAAGGGAGCTCTTCGACCCTTTGCTCTTGGGTTTATTGCCCAAGGAGTTTCTCGTCTTCGAAAGTTTTGTCGAAAAAACTGGTAAGTAAATCTATCCCATCACACGACGCCTGAAGTTCTGACTTGGAGAAAGGTATACAAAAGAGTGCGTGGCTATCGCAAACCATAAGTTTATTCATCAAGAGGGAAGAATTCGAAGGGGTTTTAGATTATAAAGTTCGTATTTTGTCCGAGAGTCTCCATAAAATGCTAGGAGGGCTAGTAGCACAAGAGTCGGACGGATCCAAGGTTTCCAAACGCGGTCAAAAGTTACAGACCATAGTCCAACGGGCGGCCAATCTAGCTATAGAAGTTTCGCAACAATCCCACTGGTTCCGTTTTTATACACCCTCTCCTGGAGCCCAGTTTAATCCGCAATGTATGGAAGATGTTGGGGGAGAGGTATTGCTCGAGGGGGACGATCCAGAGGCCTTCGAGGACAATCGCAGAGTTTCCTTATCGGTTTTTCCTTGTGTCTACCGTCAGGACCGTATTGAGGGTGAAAACAAACCTCAACCCATTACAATTAACTGGGCTTGGGTAACAATCGAGAAGGAGGATAGTCGCGCGGTTGTGGAGCAAGAGAAGGGTGATGAGAAGGGTAATATAACCAACGAAGAGGCTAACCGGGGTGCGGAATGCGCGGAATGCGCGGAGGAATCTCCTAGCGGGGAAGGTGGAGATGCAGGAGAGCTGGCTACTCGGGGAGGGAGCGAGAACTCTCCACACTCGGGTACTTCGGCCGCCGAAGTTGTATCGCCGGTATCGGCCTCCCGGGAAGCGCATGAAGGGGTGAACTAAGAGGCTGAATTAAGAACTACTCGTGAAGAAGTGGGGGGAGTTTCTAGGGATTGATTGGATCACTCTAGTGATGCATTCTATTTTCTTCACATCTTTTGTAGCCATTAAGTTGCTTCGGGGTAAAATCTACCAACGTTATTCTAGGCGAATTATCAATTGATCAACTCCTAGAACCAAAGCCAGGACAGTGTACAGTCCTGGTCATGTCAAAAGCCCATATCATGACTTCTCTTCTAATTACGCACCGTACTACTTGTCAAAAGTGTGGTCTGGCCGTCTGGTAACCGATATAATCAAATCTCCTTCTGCCCTAACCCCCGCCTACCCAGCGGCAACGAGGCATCCCTAGCCAGCAAGGCCGAGTAGAAGGAAAGAGAGAGGGAAAGGGGGGGCAAAAACCGAATCAACAAGTACCTCTCCAACTCAGTCGAAAATAGGAAGAAAATCTTTCTCCTAGATCTCCACACTGCTAGCAGTTGGGTGTTGGGCCATATCCCCAACTCCTCTAGGGTCTAGAAGAACTTACGGTCGTCTCCTGACGCCCGCAGCCCCAAACAACTGGGACTAAACTCCAAGCAACGGCTCTTAGAGACTGCACTCGAGCGCTAGTACTTGAGCACTTGTGTTCAAGCCTGCTGTGAGACACAGCAAACATGGCAACATAAACTGCATCGTCCCCATTCAGAATAGTTGTATGGGTAACGCATCAAGAAGCTTTACCCAGCGACCCAGGCGCACGCGCTAAAACAACCCCTCTCAACCAACCCCGATACCGGTACTACTGCACCGGGCCAGCATCGGTAACCTCCCACAGGCAAGCAATTTTCTGGGTTCCCCGCTCTTGGGCCAAATGAGAATCTCCCCCAAGAGTAAAGAATGATCCCCGCGCACCAAGAATACTTTTAAGGCCTCCCACCGACACCGTTACCAAAGGGTGATCGGGTGATCCAATACTCTCATGCGGTTAACAAGAAAGGATAGCATGGTACTGTACCGTACTATTACATGCACATCCTGTAGGTGCCTGCAGCTCCGTCTGACGTTCGTCTCATTTTGTCCTAAACGTAACGAGTGAGCAGGCGTTATTGGGCGCCTCATGGTTGTTGGCCATGTCGAAGAGGAGGCACCCGGGGTGGATATGTGGGTGAGGCTGCCGGAGAGGGGGGTTTCTTGCACAGTGCTTGGAGGTGCGTAGAGCAATACATACTAGCCATTTTTTAAAGTCTCCGGAATGTAGGTGATGGTCCAAGATATCCCAGTGGTCCACTTACACATTGGCCACTTAGACTTTTGATGAGAGTGCGATTAAGGACTTACACCCGTGCCAAGGATACACTTACCCCACAGGCCGGATACCTTACACCGAGCCTTTCGGGAGACTTTAAAGAACGGCTACTATTATAACCCGGGAGAGGATCAACATTAGAGTCGGATCATGGAATATCATTCGTGATCATAATTAGTTACATCTTCCGAAAACGTACTTTAGGTTCTAAGGGCCTTAGAGAACTGGGAGCTGGGATCAATCACGTGATGGTAGAGATTTCGCCAGCATTTGGTCACAGCTTCTAGATTTTTTCGTCAATGGGGGTCAATTATATATAGATAGATGGTTAGATGAAGATATTGTTTGGTGGTATCATGGATTCAGCCAACAGCAGGTCAACGATAATCTACTCCACGCGCGATCGTGGATCATGTGAGACACACCGTGATACCACCAAAGGACTAAGCCCGGTTCCCACCTGCCCCTCCCCCTCTGCCTGAAAAAGAGTTGGAAGAGTCGTAGATACAGGAGATATATCATAGCAGATCGGAAAACTGAAACCTAAAAGCCCAATCATCGGAACACATAAAACCACCATTTGGACCTGGAGCGGAAAACTCCGCGAAGGTGATGTAGCTTGAGGAACACTAGGACTCAAATACCGGTCCTTTACACAGTCATATAAACCCACCATGGCATGAAGCCTACTTGCCGAATGTCCACCAACGAGACAATTGAGAATGCCTATTCTGCTGCAGGAGACGTGAGTTTGCAGGTTATGATCAATCCCGTTCCAAGCAAGCCAGCAACTAATCGGTGATCATTGAACGGTACTCGATTGCCTGGGGTTTCCCAAGGGCATACGATAGATTTTCCCACTCCTTCGGCATGAGTAAAGACTGCAGACTCGGAGGGAAGATCTCGGAAATCTAGTCCATGGCCTGTCGGACCGCGCGATTTCACAAGTTGGCACAGCCGAGTACAGCGCGTTACTATATTGCACGACCGGGTAGGACGGTCGAGAGGAATGGCAGAACCTCTGCAGCGCCTGGTATCTTGCCAAAGTAATGGAAGGGAGAAAGAAATCCGCTAACGGTGGAACACAGAGGCTAAGTGCGGTGAAGCCAAAGCAGGGTAGTGGGGAGTCACTCGAATCATGTGATAACTACCAATGAAGTAGGAGTCCCCAGGGGTAGAAACCAAGGGGGAAAGCAGTAGAAATACCTGTAGGAAAAGGGAAGGCCAGAAACAACTCATGGTAGCAGTCCTGCCTCTGCAAGTAATAAGGAGAGCAAGAGTAGTAATGATTTTTCGTGTGTTCATTTTAAGAAAGTATGGGTGTAGAGATTCGATCTAAATTTATATATACTGGTTGCACCAATATGGCATAAGATCGACCCCTGCTCTGGCAACAAGTAACGCAGGCCAGGATTATTACCTGAAGGATGACCTGGGTCCAGGTACCCACATACGCTGGTCAACAATATGCAAGATACTGAAACCTGTGAACCCAAACCATCCTGACCTGCTAGTGACTATGAAAGAATACTACATGCTAACACTTCCTTAAGTGAACAACATATGAAAGCTAAGTACAAGTCTATCAACAGTCCAGTACCCATTTACCCCACCTAGCCAGGCCATGAAAATCCCAACAAAAATAAATAAAATACTACTACAGGCAGCACAACTCTAGCCTTACAATCTACAGCCAAGAGTGCAATTATGAATAAAAGAAATTTCCTCCCCAGAACCTACTAGTAACCCATGCAATTATTTAGATCTCAGAGAGAAAAAGCACCAGAACACTTACTCATCAACTGGTTTTCTGGACTTATTCCCATAATGGCCAACCCAGGTCACCCCAGGAGCTAGCAATATTATCATAGGTATCCCAACTTATGCAGAGCTATCTATATTGACCTCTTCCTTCTAATCCTCTGAAACCTCAGACTCTTAGGTAGTCAGATGGGGGCAGGAAGGGTAAATAGGCAAATAGGATTTATGTAAGCCATTACAGTTCACAAACCTGAGTACGGTATAGTTGCAGTGACAGCTATGAAGACAACAAGTATCAGTGGGGCAGGAGTAATCCCCAGTGGAGTAAGGGAGGAGACACCAGCTGCAGATAGTAGATATGGTACACTTGATGCTATAGTGGCCAAACTTGTAGTAGTTCATACACTGCATGTATTTGTTGAAGTGCAGGGAGCATTCTATGCAGTAGGTATTAGAGAATGTAGAGAGGCATTTGCCAATAAAGAAAGAAGCCATGAATCCAGTGATAGAAATAACAACAGTTGAGGCAGACTTGCCAACAGGTACCAAATTAGAGATAAGCTATATAGGCTACTTAGTAAGAGATAGGGCAGAGTTAAATGTGGTAAGTTCCTGGGCAAGGGATGCCAGGAAAGTAGCAGTAGTAATGCCATATACCAGAAATTGAGTGGTAGGAGTGTTGAGGTAGATGGTAGAAGCACAAGAGATAAGATACAAAGAGGTGCCAACTTTACCATTAACAGTAGTGGCTCTGACTGTATCCATAGTAGTGAGAGTAACATGTTTATCCCAAAAGGAGACAGACTAAACAAGAGGAGAGCCCAGGGCTTTATTGATGCTGTGGCATAGCTGTAGAGCAGTGAGGGTAAGGGGGGAGGCATCTGTTTTGATGATGAGTTGATGCTCATGTATGGTAAGAGGCTTTTTTGTGGTAAGAGGCTTAGCCAAGGTGACAGGTAGTTTGGCTAGCTTAAGACCAAGCTTTGTAGGTTGCTGAGAATACTTCCTTGTTCTCCTAGCAACTGTGGCCTACAAAGGAGCAGCTGTGGGACCAGAAGTTTAGGTGTAGAAAGTGGTAGAAGGTAGGGGGAGAGTAGAGAACCACTTTAGAGTAGTGATGTACTCAGTGAGTCTATTAGTAGTCTTTCTGTAGTCTTCATACAATATGTACATCATATAGAGTAAAATAGGAAGGACTCCATGAAGTTGAATAGTTGTTCAATCTCTACTGTGTCTGCCATCTAGGCAAACATGGTCATAAAGAAGGTAGCTAGGCCTTCACTCTCAACTTCAATATATCATAGTAGAGTTGAGGTAGTGCTGCTGTGGGGCTGCTTAAGTAAGAGGGGTCCCTAAGGCCTTAATATGGGTAAGATAGAGTTGGGAGTGACCATTGATGCTTTTCACAGTAATGGACAATGTCTGGGCAGGTAGTTTCAAGCACACCACAGTCAGGCTCCGGAGATATGAACAGGTTCGGTATTCCACCAAGGGTCTATGCAACAGGATTCCGGTATCCCACCAGAGGTCTAGCTAGAGGTTCCTGGGTATCTAAAGTGAATCTGGCTTATAGATATGCAGCCGAAGAGCTAGGTCTCAAGGGGTCTAGTATCCGACTAGGGTCTAGGCATCAGGACTGGTATCCCACCACTGAGGTGTATACTAAGGTCCAGTATCCTACTGGAGGTCTAGGCATCAGGACTGGTATCCCACCACCGAGGTCTATACTGAGATTGAGTATTCCACTGGAGGTCTAGGCAAGGGGCCGCTGGGTGGGCTGAAGGTTCTTTCATCTCACTAGGAAACAGCAGAAAGGTGAGGTTCAAGGAGGGTTTCCGACATCAAGCCGGAGTTCACCTGCAAGGTGCAAAACCAACTAAGGTCCAACTAAGGAGCAACCATCACGAGCCAAGGTAATCGTCTGGTATCCCACCAGAGGTCTAGGCAAGGGGCCTCATGGACATAAGGTTTTTCCATCTCACTAGTAGGAGAGGGCCAAAAGGCGAGGTTCAAGAAGGGTTTCTGATATCAAGCCGGAGTCTACCTGCAAGGTGCAAAACCAACTAAGGCCCAACTAAGGACCAACCATCACGAGCCAATATAATCGTCTGGTATCCCACCGGAG